CTATGCACAAGCACAGTACTAGGTGCCAGAAGGGATTGGAAATATGTAAAAAACATACATTTTCCTGATCCCAAAGAACTCAAACCCTAAAACAGGAAGCATGGTTCATAAGGTCAACCAACAGAGTATATAACTATTGCTATGAACTCTTCCTAGTACAAATAGATGACAGAGAAATTCAGAGACATAAGGTCTGCCATGGAAGTAGAGGGAATGACAAAGAGGGTGGGGGAGCTATGGCATTAAGAATGAGAGAACCAGTCTAGCCTGTGTGGCTGAGTGTTGAGTGTTGGTTGAGTGTTGTCCTGTGCACCAAAAGGTCACCCATTGGATTCCTGGTCAGGGCACATGCCTAGGTTGCAGACTTGATTGCTTGTTGGGGTGCATACAGGAGGCAACCAATTGATGTTTCTCATATTCATGTTTCTCTCTCCCTCCTTCTTCTTTCCTCTATAAAATCAATAAAAATATATATCGAGAGAGAGAGAGAGAGAGAGAGAGAGAGAGAGAGAGAGAGAGAGAGAAAGAGATCTAGGCCTTGGGGTGTACAAGCAAGAGGAGGTTCCAGAAGTCTGAAGGTCTTCCCAAGGACAAGTCTGGAGTGGATGGTGGGCAAAGGGGAAATCAGTTAGGAAAGGGAAGTGGGAGCCAGTTGGCAAAGAGCGTTAAATGCTAGGCTATTCTTCAATATTTAAACTGTAGGCAGTGGGAATTCAAGCAGTTTGTTGGTACTTTTTACCTTTAATGTTGATTAAAAAAAATTACATATATAAAGGCCCTACTGCACACTTATGGAATTAGAATTCCTGAAGCAGAGGCTCAGGCATATGTTCAGTGAAAGAATTCCACAAGCCATTCAGAGACCAAACATTGAAACCCATTGACACAGAGCCTGTGGAGATTATGTTCTCAAAACCCAACACAGAGCAATTTATAATTGAGTAAATTAATACCTATGGAAAAAAAATAACTCTTTCTTGTATTAATATATATATTAATAAAAGAGAAAGATGCAAATTGACCATATCTTCACAACATCTGCAAACCAATCAGGAGTGAATATGCAAATTAACCCAATAAAGATTAGTGGTTAATTTACATACACAGGTGCAAGTGCCTGGGGATGGGATGCTTGTTTCATTGCCATGGTGATGACACAGGCATTCCACACTGCCCCAGTCTGCCCCAGCCCGTCCAGCCTCTGGGCAGCTCCAGGCCAGAGCAAAGGTGGTGCCAACAGCCAGGGGAAAAAAGGCCCATTTTTGCATGAATCTTCGTGTATCGGGCCACTATATATGTATAATTTCATTTGCAAAGTATATGTATATATTTACATATATACATATACTTGCAAAAAGTATATGTATATATTTACATATATACATATACTTGCAAAGTATATGTATATATTTACATATATACATATACTTTTCAAATGAAAAAAATAATAGTATACAGTTCATTGCTGGCACATAGTAAATGTTCAATAAATATTTGTTAAATTTAGATAAAGTAAATCTGGATTAACATCAATGGCTTCTTGACAGAGAAGTCAGAAGAAAGAGAACTAGCATCTGTCTGGTGCCCATCCATGCCAGGTAACTTACAGGTAACATTTCATTTCGTCCTAAGAAGAGTCCTATGGGGGGGGACATTATTATTCTCATTTTAAGGGCAAAGAAGTTGATACTCTTACATGATGCAAGTGCAGTAAGTCACAGACTGGGCATTCAAACACAGGTTCCAGGCTCTCAACCAGGGCATTTCCCACTGCATCAAACAACCTTCCCATAAACACTGTTGCCTTGAATCTTAACTAGGCAGCAAATATTGTATCATAGACACTCTCCACTCATTCTCCTTTTTCTCCTCCGCTGGGGTCTGAATTTTACCTTCCTTCTGCCCTGAACTTCAGCCATAATCACTGAGAACTATCATTTCAAGTTGTTGTGTGTTGTTGTTTTTTAAAGCAAGCTTCTCTTTTCGTTCTCTTTGTCCCACCCTTTACCCTCTGATGTCTCCTGATCCACTATTCTCAGCTGTGAAACTCCTTAATCAGAGAGCACAAAATAGAACCTGAAATCTCAAGGAATTCCTTTGGTGGTTTTCTTTGTACCCGAAGGCTGACGTGGGAGGGTGGGGGGGTTGAAGGCAGGAGAAAGAGGCTCATTTATAGTAGGCTCCCCCCAAATGCAAAGGAAATGATGCCGGTGCTATTTAGCACTGGGAAACAGTTCGTCATTTTAATCGAAGCAAGTTCCTCCTCCTGCTTTTGAAAGTCATCCTCTGCTGGAAGACTTTAGTCGCTGTCCATGTGTCTGTGTCTGTGTGTGTCTACAAGAGACACTGAACATCTCTCCTTAAATCAGAACATTTCCCCACAGAGGCGTTAGATTTTTCAGATCGGATGCTTTATTTTTCTGTTGATCGCATGATGCACAAAAACATTTTTCTCCTTTATATATACTTTCTTAATAATTATTCTACATTTGACTAAGGTGGAGTCCTGGGTAAATGCCAAGCAGCCTTTCTTTTTTTGGTTTTGAATGTCCTTCAAATGAAAGTGACAGTTTGTATATTCCTTCATCCACATTACTGAGGGAAATGTCTGTCATTCTGGGGCTAGGACCCATGTGGATAAACCTTTTATTAGCCGAAGGCCTGGGCAGACTTCTTAGCCAAAGAGGTTCAGATGTAACATCTACACCTAGACTCTAAATATCGACTTTGAAAAGTGACTCCTTCGTTCCACCAGGAAGAATTGCTGTGTGAGGAAGCCATGATAACACTCTGCATTCTCTGCAGACCACTGTATCCAAATATGCAGAGTGTGTAATGAAAATCCTAGGGCGCCAGTCGCCTAGACTCCAGTCTGAATTAGTGTCTCCTGGGGTTGAGCAGCTCACATCTGCTCAACCACACACAGCAACCCTCCAATAGGAAACTTATTTTCCTCTGATATAAATAGTTTCTGCATCCTTAACAGCTAATGGCCATTTGTGGACTCTTGTTTGCCTGAACATTATAATCAAGGTCTCATAAATTAAAAATTAGTGAATCAGGCTTATGGTTTATCTTTATTTCCCCCTATTTTTATTATTCCTAGAACAGACTGGCTTCATTTAGAATCATAAAGTCATTGAGATAACTTGAGTGATTATAAATGGTGTTGTCCTCAGTAAATGGAAGTGGGTTGTAGAAAAGGAGAGTCATTAATAGAAGGCAAACTATCAGTTATCACAGTCGTATTTATTTGAAAAGATAAAGTGAATTCCATATTAATAAATACTTTTAACACTGAATGTACAAAAACTACCGTGCTTGTTCTAAGAAAACAGTTTACTACAGAATCAGAGGAAAGATAGTCTTTTGCCCAAAGGCCATTGCTAAAGCAATCTGGGACTAGGAATAGCCTCATGGATATTGTGTGAAATTGGGGGAGGGAAGAGAGTTGATACAATTAGGAAGAATTGTCTACTCTCCCTTCTTCACTGGGGCCTTAGAATTAAAAATCTGAAATTGGGAAATACACCTTCGCACACATCCCTGGTTTATCTCTCAGTTTTGGATTAGAATCACCAGCTAGTGGACACAAACAAAAATTGGAAACCGGTCCCCAATTTGCATCGAGGTCAGATTAGTCTGGTTGAAAATGAGTCCATGAGGCCCCTCTGAGGCCCAGCAGGAGCTGCTACAGCTTATGCTTAAAGCTCAGGCACGACCACACTGTCATTCACCAAAGGACTGAAAGCACTAAACCATGTTGACGGCCACCTCCACCAGATCTGTCCCTTCAGTGCTGTCTTTATATGAACCCATCATCCCGTCTGTCTGCCTGTGGTCCAGCCCCTGACCCTGGAGCTGGGGTTGGGGGGCACACATTACCAGGTTTCTGTCCAGGCCTTGCACCCACGGAGAGAAACCGTTTAGGGCTGTGGTCTGCAAACTCATTAGTCAACAGAGCCAAATATCAACAGTGTAACAATTGAAATTTGAGAGCCAGATTTTTTAAACTTAAACTTCTTCTAATGCCACCTCTTCAAAATAGACTCGCCCAGACTGTGGTATTGTGTGGAAGAGCCACACTCAAGGGGCCAAAGCATGTGGCTCATGAGCTGCGGTTTGCTGACCACTGGTTTAGGGAACCCATATGGTCACTTTTTTTTTCTTGCAAACACTCAAATGAAACAATCTCAAAGATTTGGAGTTCCCCATCCTAATGGTAATAAGTGATAGAGAAAGGCTTCTGAAAGGGACAAAGGCAGGTCCTCTCCGATCAGCCCCCAATGGGAGTGGGAAACGCCTGAGAGACCTCGGCTACTCCAGGCCTCCTTGGGTCTTTTTCTCAGGAGACATGATAACCTTCCAGGCTCTAGTACGTGAACAAAGGCTTCACCTCAAAAGCCACTGCTGCACTGCAGGCTCTCAGGGCGTTTCTGGGTAGAGGGAGGGAGGAAGAAAAGAGGTCACCTTCATTTTGATACATGATCTAGTGGCCAAGGGCAGGGGAAGGAAGTGGAAAAGAACAAACACGCTAATGCCTAGTCTTCTTAGTACAGATTGCAAAGATTATAAAGGGAAGAGTTGTTTCAGGTTCTGAGGGCCAAGACTTAGTCAAGAAGGGACAGCAGCAGGGTGGCGGTGGGCATTAGAATCATGGGGCTTTGGGGTTTTAAGCTAAAGAGGACCCCAAGGCTTTCACTTTGTTTTCCAGAAGAGGAACCAGGGGCCTGAGAGATTGAGCTGTGTGCCAACCCCACAGAGCTTGCTATATCTGCTCGGGGGACACGAAGAGAAGCAGAGACTGTGGTGAGCCATCTGGTGGGGGGCAGGTGGACAGCGCCTGGCGTGTGGTTAGTTGCATTGAGAATCCCCGCAGATGGAAAGTTCCCATCCCTGGGCCCTCACTTGTCGATGCATCTCCAGAAGTGAATGGACCCTGGACCGAGCTTATTGGGGGGGTTCCCTCTGGAGGGTGGTGAGGAGCTGCGGGTGTGTCCTCACTTCCCAGTCCGGGAGGCCACCTGGATGGCTTTGATCCATTCGGTGCGCTCCTTTGGGGTGGCCGCTTGCAAGAAATAATGAACTTCATCGGCCGTGATGATCTCAAAGAGGTTCTCTTCTTCACTTTTCTTGGTTGCTGAAAAGAAAACATGAACGACAGTGCCCATGGGTATCAGAGAGGCCACCTCGTTCACCCTCCTTCTGCAAGAAAGGAAATTCCAGCTTTCTGGGCATTTTAAGAAAAGAAAACATGTGGTTTTCAAGCTTACCAACATTGTAGGATCATATATATTTATTGTATAACTGTATATATTATTTCTATGAACAGGTACATAGTATGATTGTGTGTGTATGTGTGTGTGTGTGTGTGTGCATATGTGTGTGTGTGTGTGTGTGTGTGTGTTTAAGAAATAAGTTGAAACACTCAAGGAGAAACATTTTCTTTTACAAACTAAATTTCTCACTTTTGAATACAAGCAGTGAGTAACCTCTAATAGTGTCTAATGAATATTCCCTCTACTCATAATATAAATCAAGGGCTGACGCTAATACATTTTCAAATGTATAAGTAATTAAGTAAGTAAATAAAGAAATAGATAGCCAAGCCCACTGCCAGTATCACCAGACTAGCCTGAACTTGTTTTTGTCAAGGGCTAAGTTAGAGTCTTTGCTGAAAGATTGGAGGCAGTAAATTGGCCAATACTGTGACAAGGCTTAAAATCTCCACTTCAAAATTAAAGCAGAATTCTGTGAGGTGAAGGGAGTAAGCAGGGGTAGTAAAAAAAAATAAATAAAATAAAAAATCTAGGCTTTTGCAATTGTTCGTGCTTTTCTGTTTATCTCTATAACATCACAAACTCAAAAGCAACCAGATAAAATCAAGGTATGAATGTCTAAACCACACCTCCACAGTGACATCACCCACACTCACACCTGAGAAGTCAATCTACACCACCCTGCTTATTCCATGCACCAAATCAGAGACTTGTGATCTGGGACCCGGAGGTCATCTGGTGCAAACCCCTCATTCTCAGAGGAAGAGCTAAGACCCAGGTTAGTTAGGTGATTCACCCAAGGCCATGCTGCTAACTAACCAACTAGCACAGACCTAACTATAACCCAGGTGCACCTTCCACACACTGCAAATGTCCTTTGGGTTGTGGGAGATTTCCTGGTGTGTAAAAGGCTCCCATTAAGGAATAATGTCATGGCTGTTACATGCATCAGGAGGTAACAAGTTTCTCCACGTAAGCCAGGTCTAACGTGAAGAATTTTTCTCAGCATTGCTCAGAGATTTACCCAAGGCATCCACAAAGTCTTCCCAACTCCCCAAGACCCACAGAGTCAGGGCAGCAGTTGGGAAAGAATCACTCTTGGTTTTTCCCAGGTTTTTTAAACAGAAATTCATTCTTGCTTATGCCTGATTAATTGAATGATTGATAATTATTGGCTCAGGATGTCATGAGTGGAAAGGGAACCTAAGTAGATACACCGGCCATCAAACAAAAATGCATTCTTACCATCTGGGTTGCTCTCCACTGATGTCACCACACAACCTCGCAAATGAATTGCTCCCAGGGGATCTTCCCCCTAGAGGAGAGAGGAGTCCTTAGTTATGTTTCCAAAATACAGGGTATGGATATACCTTGTCCTGTTGATGCAAAGCCACACACTCATTCTGATATAGATCAGGGGCCCCCCCAAAATAGATAAGAGCAGTAGGAAACTAAAAGGAACCCCTCCCAAATCCCCCAGCCACCACCTCACCTAGGGAGGTGAGATGAAGAGATACAAGTCAATCTTAGCTTCTTATCTGGAGAAAGTGGGAGGGGAGGTGGAAAGGCTGAATCATCAGTCCCACAAGAGAACTGCATGTTTCCGGAACTCTTTAACCTCTTGTAACTAAACCTCATGGGAGGGAATCAAAGAGGCTGGGGACCCAATCCAGATGGAGTTGTCTTTACACCTCAGAATTGGCTCATTTCATTGAGGAAAAACCCCCTTCTGAATACTCAACAGTCTAAGTGCCTACATTTAAACAATGCTTTCATCCAAGTTGGCCTGGAAGAGAAACTAACACTTGTTTGCATATTAAACCAGGAACAAAGTGTTGAACTGGTTGGACCCCTCTGAAAATATTAAATTAGGGAAAATAAAACAAATTCTGTTGAGTAGACTAATAAATGACAACTTAGATATTTTCTTCCATCCCTGAGCTTATGCCTCAAAGCCTAAGATCTCAAATCTTTGCAAATAAGAGAAGGTATAAAACTGCAGACAGGTGGCAGAAAAATAAAAGTGGGAGGGTGAAGAGGGAAAGGGGATATCAGCAGAGCGGAAATGGGAGTGGAAAGCCCCATGAGCAGATGCAGTGGAAGCTCCCAGTAGAATGGGTTTATCGGCCACAGAATCTCACCCCCGCTGGGTCATAGTAGTGCAGATATGCAGGGTCTTCTCTCAGAATGAACTTCCTCACTTTCCAGTTCTTCCTCCGATGCCCCTATATCCAAGATCAACATAAGAAAAAGAAATGATGAGTTCTTGGCATCACTCTGTATATATAGCACCTGCAAAATCTTGGCTGAATTGGGGGGAAAAGATGAAATACTAATTCTAGGAGAACCAGGCCCCAACCCAGATCTTTGTCAGAGAGTTAGCACGGTGGCCCATGAACAATTTGGATGTCATTAAACTATAGGTTAAATTATTTCTAGGATTGCCTTCCAACTTGATATTATACAAAACAGTACTCTATATGTTTAATGTACTATGTTAGGTAATGTTGGGGCTATAAAGAGATTTAATTTAAGACATGTTCCTTCTCTTCAGAGTTTATAGTCCATGTGGGAAAATAAAATATCAAGTATCCAAATCAAATAATTGGTATAGATAATGGATTTGAAAAAATTAAATGAGGGATATGTAATTTGGGGTTTGGATGTCAAAGAAAGTTTTTTGCCTATCCATGTGGCTGAGAAAAAAAGATAGATGAGAAGACAATTGACAACAAACCAGAGCAGTAGAGCAGTCAGACTAGAAGGCAAGGGTCATGAGAAACAATCAAGTCAAGGTTGGAAAAGTGGAAAGAGACTTAGTAAAAATAAAAGGTGGGGTTGTTGCTGAGTCAGAAGTAAAAAGATTACAATCACATTTTAGGAAGCTCTATGTGCTGACAACATACAGAATAGATTAGCTGGTTAGATTAGAGATAAACCAGGGACAAGATAAGATAATAAGGTAAAAAGAAAGTTATTAAGAAATGATTACAACAATTCAGGCATAAAATTGTCAGGGACTAACATCAGGTAGCAGCAAAGGAAATGGGAAGGAATGGTTTCTCATCCAGACAGGATGAGAAGGAAGAATAGCCTTGTCCAATAGAATCAAACACTGACACTGTTTGAACTGTGGGTTTTGAGGGCAGAATTGTTTGTCTTTGGTCCTCCAATGCCCAGCACTGTGCGCAGCACAGGGGAGTGTTCCATGTCTATTGCCTTGAATTACCCAGTTATTTCAATTAGCTTATAGCAGTTTATTAAAATGTCATGGTACAACTAATTGCATGCTTTCCCACAGAAATTCAAATGACTTAAATAACCCAGAAGCCAAAAAAAAAAATAAATATTAGATTAAAAGATATGGAGTTTCTATCTTGCCAATATGAAGAATGTTGTTCTCTAACACTCCACACATTGACAGGCACATAAATGAATTTTCCAATATTTTTTCATTGTATGCGTATAGAAAGCAATGAAACATTTACAATTTTAGCAAACAGTGCCTCCTTTATAATTCCAGGTCAGAGGGACTTAAAGGTAGGCTTTCAAGAATGGGTCTTGCCAAAACCGGTTTGGCTCAGTCTGGATTCTGGTCAAGCGCATGTACCTTGGTTGTGGGCACATCCCCAGTAGAGGGTGTACAAGAGGCAGCTGATTCTCTCTCATTGATGTTTCTAACTCTCTATTGCTCTCTCTTCCTCTCTGTAAAAAAAAAAAAAATCAAAAAAAAATCAATAAGATATATTAAAGAAAAAAGAAAAAAGAATGGGTCTAAGTTATTTGACCAATCACTTGGTCAAGGAGCTCATCTCAAAAAAGTCTTTTACTTGCATGAAGGTTGAAGTCAGGAACTCTGGGAAGTCACACGGAAGAATACAGAATATTTCTATCTGCTATTTCATGTTCAGAATAACTTTTGCAAAGCATCAACTTCTAAAGTTCTAATGAATTTCTGCTCTTTGCCTTAGTAGATGTTGCCCATAAGATGTAGACACTAAAGTTATTCCGCCCACACCATTTTATCCTGATCTGTGTATGTGGCATATCCTCCTATGAAATTACTGGGTGAATACCAACTTCTCATGAGTCAATGGAAGAGGAAGGTAACAGGAAGATGTAAAATAAGCCAACCCTGGCCACCACCATGCCTTTAAGTGGTGTTTAAGTACGAGCTAAGGCTGACTGGTAGCTATCAAAGGCCGAGTAGAGGAAGGTGAAGGAAAACATGGAACATGCCTACTCTGGTCCCCACTGTCTTCAACAGGCACTCAGGCACCCATCCCTCAGCCACTTTTTGACCAGCCAGGGCCTGCATTGGCATACTTATGCAGTCCAGCTCAGACTTCGTTCAGCCCTTTTCTACCCTCACGTTCAGTTTTCTCAGGGCTCCTCTCTAGACTAGGACTTCTCAGGTCAACTAATTCAAGAACAGTCATTAGTGGCCGATAACAATACAGAATTATGGAAGGAATCAACAACGTAAGAAAATAATGAAATTCCCTCCTAAGGAACTTTTGTCTTAACGGCCACCTCCCAGCAACTGTAATCAAAGAGCCAGGATTAAACTAAAGAGGAAGCCAAAAATGGGCAAAATATCCATCATTCCCTACATAAGGCTGGCCTTGCTCCTATGATTTTCCTTTGATCTAGTCACTTGTCACCCTGCCATAAAAGTCATTACAAGAGTCTGTGAAATCTTTCTAACCCTTGCTGTACTCTTTCTTAGGACCCTGATGTTAAGGTGGTTTACCACACTAATGTCCCACTTCCCCTAGTAAAACTCAGAATCCACATCTATACCTAATTTCAACTAGCCCAGATTTCTTCTTTCTAAAAGTAAATATATACTCAAGTAAATATATACTCAACAACTCCCTTCTTTGCCCTGAAAGTTCAGGGGCCCATTATGAGGTAAGTCAAATCTCTCAGTCCCACAGGGCCTATAGACAGTGCACAAAAATCTCCTTACAGCAACCAGATTCTCCCTGTTACATGCTGAGCAGTACCTGTAAGACAGCTCGCAGTACAACCAGAAGGGCAAAACCTTGGCTTCATAAAGCAGCTTTTGCTTCTGTGTCACCATGTGCTGGTATCAGTTGATTTCATCCTGATATTCCCATGTCTTCCTGTTGCTTCTGCCTCTACCAGGAGCTGGCCCTGGCTTTCTCGCTCACCCCAGCCCTTAATTCTTGGCATCTCATGCCTTGGCACCTGGTAACTAACTTCAGCTCTTCAGCTCACCTAGCCCTTGCCTCCCAGTCTAATGCTAGCCTATACCTGCAGACACGTGGGAACTGCACATGACTTCCCCCCAGGACTGGATTTGACCTTCGTCTGCTGCAGAGTTGGCCTTAGGCATGCCCTGGATTTGGTTTCACTATGTCCTACCCACAGGCTGGAATGGCACTTACTTGCTCTCAGGCATATATAATATTCCTCTTCTGGGTGTGACTTATTCCTGTTTCCTTGTTACTTTGGGGGGAAGTCGGGGAGGAGGGAGAAGCAAATGGAAGTATTTTTATTATGAAATATCTGCCTTTTCCATGCCATCTCTTAGCCAAGTGAATTATTACAGCTAATTAAAAGATCAATAATTTTCTTGAAACATCTCTTTTTCCTATGATATTGATAAAAGAGTTTCCTTTCTTTGAGGTGCATCTTCTGCCCTGCCTGCCTCGGTCCTCTTTCCTAATGCCTCTTTGATCATTTACCAAACTATTTGTCCATCTCTCAGTCTGCTGGTTTCATTTACTGGTTGACTATCAGCCAAATGAAATATCGTTCGGTGTTTAGAAAAGAAAAGAACCTGAGAAGAGGGAAAGGCTAAAAGGGAATAGTAGAGGCCACTCACCTGCTTCAGTAAGCATCCTTGCTTGATAATGACCCCTCTGAATTCTTCTTTCAGAATTACATCATCATCACTGGAATTCTCTTCACAGAAGAACCCACTGTCTGGCTATTGGGAAAGGAAATAGCAAGTTTATTTTATCAATCTTAGGCATATTGGTATGTGTACCATCTTTATACACACACACACACACACACACACACACACACACACACATTCTTCACTACTTCCAGCCACTCGGTAGGCTCTCTCTCTTCCAGTGGTTCATATACCAACCTGAACTTCAAAGGCTGTCCTTGGATCTCAGAGGGAAGGAGGTTGAGGGGATAATCAACCAAAGACCTTGTATACAATAATGCATAACCCATGGACACAGACAATCGAATGGTCAAGGCCTGGGGCAGAGGGTGGGGACAGCTGGAGGGGGTCCATGGGGGAAAATGAGGACATACGTAATGCTTTCAATAATAAATATTTATTTTTAAAAATATATAAATAAATAAAATAAACAATAAAAAATAAAGGCTGTCCTTGGTTATCTCATTTCCCCTCCCCTTAATCTTGTTTCTAGATGCTCTTCCTCTCTTTCCACTCATGCCATCTTGTTGATATCCTTTCATTTCCTTGGGTTCTCCATGCTATACATATTTTAAGTCTAGCTCAGCACATTTCTTCCTTCAAGGCCTTCCTTCTCTTCAGACCTCAAAGCCACATCCTAAAGAGCAGAGTTGGCTACGATAGAAGACATTGCACGACAAGATCTCCATTGTGATCTCTGCCACTCAGCCCTCTTCTGCTTCGGGAAGACCAAGAGCAGGTGCCCAGTCTCAGCCTCTGAGGTCAGCAGAGAGCTGGGACTTGCTCAGCTGTAAGCAAGCAATGAACCATACAGAGAAAGAGGAGCCACTTTTTAAACCTCCAGTGGGGAGGACTTAAGAAGTTCTAGCCCAACACCCTGGACTCAGTAACACATTAAACAGGAAATAAGCCTGGCCTGGACCTTGTGGCTGGATATTTTTAGAATCCCACATTTAAATGGCTATAAGTAGCCAAATTAGATGTCTTAAAATATGTATACTGACAGCCGAACTTCCCCCAAAGTGAAATGAAACTCTCTCTGGGACATTCCCATTATTTTTGTAAAAGGCTCTTAAGTCGCTTCCTAACTTGTGGGCTCTGACCCCAAATAGGAACAAAACTCCTATTTGGAACTGCCAAAACTCCCCTAGAAATTCACTGTTGCAGGATTTCTCACGTGGCCCAGGTTTAGATCCACATTGTGTAAAATCACATTGTGTTTCCCCATCTGTGATAAGCAAGCCATGGGAGATACACAAGATGATTGGGGGAGAGAATGCAATGCATACATTTTGCATAAAATTGAATGTTTTAATGTAAATTTGAGAAAAAAATACAATCAGCATAATGTGATTTTATGGATCTCCTCTAGAAAGGCAGCTCCAAGCAGCTGCAATTTTTTTTAATTGCTATACCTTCCTTGTTTTTATAAATGAATTATTACTTAAAGTAAAAATAGATGTAAAGCTTTAAAAGTCCTTTTAAAGAAAACTACTCAAGTAAACAATATTTTCCTCTAAACTGACTCACGTGGATGTGGCAGGCATTGAGCTGGGGGACAGCTGTCAAGTCAAAAACAGCTAACAACTCTGGGTAGAGGATTGGGCCTCTCTTTCACACATGTGGGTGGCCCAGCCCCAGAACCTGCCCAGAGCAGTCTCCATTACAGGAAGAGTAACTAAGTAGCTTTCCTCACTTACAAAGTAGTAGAAGGCATCAGGGTTGTCCAGGAAAGGGTTTTCAGCAGTCCCATCCGCTGCGTTCTTGGACAGGTCTCCCGCAGGCTGCAGGTACCCTTCGTTGAGCAGTGAGGAGGCGATCATGAGGCCTTCCTGGCGATTCCGGACAGACTTGCTGGAAAGCAGCCAGTCGATGACACAGTTACCTGGATGGGGCCATCAGAGGGAAGGTTAACTCTCCTAATTAAAGAACAAACCACTCTGGAAACCCCCAGAGTGCCCACGTGCCTGACTTGTCTCCTCTTCCCAGTTATTCCAGGAAGGAAAAACAAAATCAGTGAGATAGATACCCGGAAACAAAAGGAACTGTGTAAAGGGTTTTGTTTTGTTTTCCTTTTCTTAAATCTACAAGTTCTTTAAGAAGCAATCCATCATTAAAGAAATAGTTCTTTACCCACTTGCACTGAAGTCTTATGTATCTTGATTCCTGTCTATTCTTTTATTCAACTCTGTGTCTATTTTAACATAATGCCATTTATTGGGAGAAAAACGACTCTTTGATTGATATAGCTGGCATTTCCAAAACAATATCTTGGACAACAAAGTTCTTTTCTAACCTTAATTTTATGTCCATGATGGAGAAGTTCAATCCTCATGTTCACCAGTCATCCTCCTATGACCCCTTATACCCAGCTTGCTACACACACCCCACCCCACACATAAGACTGAGCGAGAATTTTATATTGCCTTCCCCAGTTGCCCTATTTCAGAGTTTCAAGAACTTTTACCTGTGAAGCAGTGATTAAAAATCTTCTTATCCTTCTCTAGGTTCAGCTCTTTTATTCCTTTTTCCGTGTCTTTCATGGACAAATACAGAGCCCTGCACAGAGATGAAAACAGATGGATGAGTGGGGAGCATTTCAGAATGGCAAGTCCTTGCAGGGACTTTGAAGGGCTGGCCGAGAGCACAAGCTTCTCCCCTCCCTCCCAGGTGCTCCCTGCGCCTAATCTCCCCACCAGAACACAAATAGTTCAAGGACTTAAGTCTGTATCCGGCATGGCATTCAACAGAATACAGTAGGGAGATAATTATTCATTAAGCTCTTTGTTGATTTAAGTTCCAATGAGAGCGAAAGTTAGGTGGCAGGGAGTAAAGTTCTCAGGGCCAGTTTTCCATACATACTCTGATCTTCAAGGTCCCTTGATTTTCATATCCCAGACCGTTAAGTGTTGTGAAGGGACCATCTAGACTAGACATTGCCTCCAAGAAAGTGAATGTTTTAGCCAAACTTATCTCTTATTCTAAAATTATGAGACAAGGCAAAATAGTAAGTTCGCATTTTTGTCCTTGAAGTAATAAACTCAAGATAGCTTCATAACCAGAAAGCCTCTTTCATGTATCATGTGGTTCCATGTAGAACAAACACCATTCCCACTTAGCTCTGACAGCCATGGCCAGAAATGTGATCACTTGATGCCCCAGCCAACAGCTGCACTAGACCTGGAGCCTTGCTCTTGGGTCTTTACCCAAAAGCTTTGCTGGTGAGAGAAGAGTCTAAGTCTCCCAAGCTCATTCTACAAACTTAATTAAACTCCTGTGACATGCCAAGTCCTGTGTTAGGCTGCTGAAAGGGTTTGTCTTCAGTGCCTCTCAGGGACAACCACATTGTATAAACAGAACCGGTCTTAAACATTTTTAGCAGCCAACATGGAATTCTTTCTGACTGGGCTCCTGTTTTAGGTTATACTCAACATAAATGCAAAATTATCAGGAAGCAATGTGATAGAGGGATATATGAAACATGCAGGAAGGAAGGAGCCTTGTTTTCAATCCTCAAGGACTTAATTTTCCTGTGAACCTCTAACAACCTATAGACAACAACTATCACCTGCAATTCCAAGGACATTAAATGGCATAGGACATTAAACCAGGCCAGGGTTTCTGCCCAGGATGAATGTTCACCTTGGCTGGTCCTTTCTGACAGTATACCTTGCATACTTGCATACTTATCCCCTGCCTTTTCCTCCCTACCTAGAAATCCTGGAACATTCTTTAAAGACTAGCTTATTATGGCTACTTCACAAATGTAATATAATAAGTTCTATCTCTTTGTCTCTCTTTATCTATTTGGGTCTCTTTCTCTGCCAAGGTTTTCCAAAATGAGGGAATGTATATTCCAGTAGCTTCCTCTCCTCAGCTGCTAAGCTTGCAGAAGCCATGATCACTCCTCCAGGTAAACATCTTAGTACGCCTAGAGCCAGCATTGATGCGAAAGGGTGAATACAGCCTTCAGAGGTGACCAAAGCAAGCCCTGGAACATCTCCTCAAAGGGGAAAAAAAAGAAGGGGTAGAAGGAAGCAAACACAGAAAATCACCCTAAGTCAACAGTCTCTGGCAGTCGAATAGATCTCCTGGTGGATTTCCTTGCAAACTTCTGGCCTCCTTCAATGCACTTAATGGCCTTCCTGATGTCTCGAACCCAGCCATCTCTCTCTTCCAGGAAGGCTGCCTGGAAGAAGTTGTCCTGCTGTTTGGTTGTAGTGATCTTAAACACAAACTAAAAATAAAAATACATGCCATTAGGGATCATTCTTTTCAAGGGGCTGAGGTCCCTTAATAAAGCACAGCAATTGAGCTAGCCCTGTCCTGGAAGTACTTGGCCAAGAGAGACCCAGATGCCCAGGGGGGAGTAGTGGAAAGCAGGTGGTGGTAAGGGAGCTAGTGCAGGGGGGACCAACCACACTGTCTAGGCTATGCACAGACTCAAAGGTCAGTGTCTGACCAACCATTCACGTGACTATTCATGTCAACTCACCATCCTTTTGCCGAAGTCCTGACAGGGACTAGTCAGAGTGCTTCCTTTCAGGGGAATCATTCCTTTGGGGCTGTTGTCACTTTTCTTCTTATAGAATTCAATTCCATCTTCTAACAATACAACCCACATGGGTTTCCAGGTGTTGAACACACTCCCCTGTATTGACAACAAAAAGTCATGTAACAATATTTTCTGAAATTGAATTGAAGTAGGACTTGGTAAACAGCCTACTGTTGACCAGTGTGGACTCAGGTGACCCACATTTGTGTGACCAGGGTGCTAGGCAAGCAGCCTTCAAGGGAGAAGGGACTGCCATTCTTCTGGAACTTTAAAAAAATACATTTTAAAGATAAACTGTATGCATATCCATAATCAGCCATAAGCCCCTCATGGGTCATTACCAGGGGAATATGGGATGGATCTCTACTCTTCTTGTGCATTTCAGGCTGGCTTTCTGCTCCACTCCTGCCCATTGTGTTCAGTTCAACTCAAGGATGGCAAATAGATTCTATCTTAAGTGCCAAGGCAGACTGAATAGTAGCCGATGCCTGAGGCTGGACTCATGGGGAAAGTGACATGACCCAACAGCTGTGTTTTTCAGGTGTGGAGGCCATGAAGGTGGCGAGCTAGCTGCAGTTTCTTCCATCCTGTGGTCTAAGATTTTATCTGAATGTGGATGTCAAGAAGAAACTCAGGCAACAGCTTTGCATTCAGGATAGCTAAGTTGTATGAAAATCCCTTGCAAAAAATGGTCTGTAATGCCTGAGTGTTGCTATCCATGCTTTTAGGAAAATCCTTATTAGAAAAGTTTTCAGTTTGGGCTAATGTCAACTGCCCCTGTAGCAGTATATTAACTGTTCTGACTAAATCAAAGAAGTCTCTCTTTTTTGTCTATATTTTGGGAGAGTTTGGGAAAACAAAGTTCTTCGCCTCTACCATTGGACCCATGAGGCCACCCAGTCATGACTTTCACAAAATAGAATTATCATCCAGTTCCCACAAGACTCTGCAGCTTATCTTAAAATGCAAAGAGCCTCTATATCAAGGTCAGTTGCCCAAAAGGAAGTCTATTTATACAAAAAGGTTAAGTACTTGCAGGACTATCTTTTTGCTTGTCCAAGTGTTTCCGTTACTTAGTTACTAAAAAAACTTTTAAAATTAGAACCCACTATCTCTTTGTTCCACAGGCAGAATGACTATCCATACTAGCACTAGACTGTTGTTTTTTCTTTAAAAATGGGCAAGGTCAGGCACTGCAAACACAGGAAATAATTTCAGTTAAATGCCTTCCTATTTTACATCTATCTGAGAGAAACTTATATATTCAGAATATAAAGAGTTCCTGCAAACCAATAAGGAAAATAAAATCTATTTTTTAAATGGGTAAAAGACTGGAGGAGGCATTTCACTAAAAAAAGTTATTCAACCCAGCTCAGTGGTTGTGTGTCAGCCTATGAACCAGAAGGTCATGGTTCAATTCCCAGTTAGGGCACATGCCTGGGTTGCAGGCTTGATCCCTAGTAGGGGGCATGCAAGAGGCATCACTGATGTCTTTCTCTCTCTTTCTCTACCCCTCCTTCATCTCTGAAGTCAATAATATATACACATATATATTTAAAAAGAGATTATCTGGTGGGGGGGGGGGTTAATGGGGGAGTAAGGGCACATATGAAATACTTTAATCAATAAAGAAAAAATTAAATTTTTAAAAAGAGGTTATCAAAAAAGTATCTGAAAGGTTGTTTAACATCATTATTCACCAGGAACATGCAGATTAAAAGCACAGTGAGATACCTCTACACACCATCAGAGTATCTAACATTTACAAAAATTAAGAAGAGCAAGACTTGGCAAGGATGGTAACTGGAATCTCTATATGTGGTGGGCAGGAGTGCAAAATGGCACATCAAACTGGAAAAGAATGTCCTAATTCTTAGGAGATATATGCTGAAGTACTGAGGAGTGAAGTAGCATGATGTCCGCAGCTTATTCTCATGAAATCTGTGTGTATACTTAAATAGAAATACAGAGATATGAGAGATAAAGCAAGTGTGGACATATGTTAACCATTGATAAATCAAGGTAAATAGTATACAGGTAGTCATACTCGTTTTCTCATTTCTCTGTGGGTTTGACATTTATCAAAATAATTGGGGGAAATTAATAAATAAATGAACAACATGGGACACTACTATATATTAGAATCTAGGCTATACTTTCAGGGAAACATAGAAACAGGTCTATAAAATACTGAAAATAATAAAAGCGATGCTCACAGAGCTAGGAGCAAAATGTTGGACTAAATGACCCTGAATACCTTTCAAAAATTATATATTCTACCTCAGGCCCCTCATAGAGGAGTAACTGCCACAATCACTCAGCAGTTTTGACCTTAGTATTGGGATAAATTGGGAGAGGTCAGCCAGCACTGCATTCCTCCTGTGAGCAATTAGGTAAAAGCTACTCCTCATTCAAATGTAGCCTCAGGGGTCTGTCAGCTCTCAGAGCAGGAAGTGTCATTTGGGATTCAGGGCCATTATGCACTTTGGGAAGGCTGATCTTTTGTAAAACAAGAGAAATGAGACTGGCCTCACAGAGCGGAAACTTTCTTCCAGGCTTGGTAGGGGTTAGCCCGGTTAGGATGATGGAATTACGGGGAATCTCTCTTCTCCTAGCGGCCATTGCTACAGCCACCAGCTTCTCACTACTGTACACCTCCTCCTCACTGCACCTCCTCCTCACTGCAACTGTACATACCCCTTCCTGTTCCCAACCCTCTTGGTACTCACCCAAGAGCAAACTGGGAATTGTGATCCTGGAATGTCCAGGACACATGACACCTGGCCAGTACATGTGGAACTGGAACTAGAATCCAGGTCTCTTCATTCTCAATTTTATGCCATCTTTATTTTGGTTCCTATGTGCCTTTGAGTAATTCTGGAATCTAAATCAATTTTTTTCAGGCTGCTTAACTAGCTATACAAATGATCTCATAAAATCATGATTATAATTTTGGACAACCATAATATATAATATGTTTTATATATATTATATAGATAGTATATGTCTGAAGTATTGAGGGGTGAGGTATTGTTTGTATTTTTCTGTAATGCCTTTTTTCATTATAGAAGAAAACCTCTACAATGTGCAATAGGTGGATTTTAGTTGCTGAATCAGGTTTATTTAAGTTTCCCAGTGAGTAGCTGTTGATCATCATGGGACGGGTATAATTTAGTGCGCAAGAGTCTGCCATTGCATAACGCCAAAATAAGAAATCTCAAAGGACAAAATATTAAAAAATAATATTCATATTTTTTAAAAAACAGCAAAATCAAATATGGATATTTGTAATATGTCATATAATTAAAAGTTAACATATGCTTTTAAAAACTCTTTAGAATCATTAAAAATTCATAGAAGCACCCCTTAAATGGGAAAACAATATGAATAGGCCATTCTCAAGAGAAGAAAAACTCAGGTTCAATAGACATTAAAATGTCCTGCTTTAATAGTACTCAAAGAGACAAAAATTAAATAAGATATAATTCTGTTCATCGATAAGATTTTTTAAAAAGATTTTATAAAATGTATTGGTGATGATTTGGGGAACTGGGCATGGAAAGACAAAAAGGATCATTATGAGCAGCAGTTGGATGTGAGCTATTAAAAAAAAAAAAAAAAAAAGCCTAAAAGCTAATAATAAAATTTTAAAAAGGCTAAAGTGCCCTGGCTGGTTTGGCTCAGTGGATAGAGTATCGGCCTGCAGACTGAAGGATCCCAAGTTCAATTCCAGCCAAGGGCACATGCCCAGGTCATGGGTTCGATCCACAGTGTGGGATGTGCAGGAGGCAGCTGATCAATGATTCTCTCTCATCATTGATGTTTCTATCTCTCTTTCTCTCCTCTTTCCTCTCTGAAATCTGAAATCAATAAAGATTTTATATATATATATATATATATATATATATATATATATATATATGCCTAAAGTCATTGTAGGCCATATAGAAGGATAAGATCTAAAGTGAGGACAGTAATATTCTGACTTTAAGTGGCACATAACCAGCAGGTGACCATGGCTCTGGAGCTGGGTGGTCCAGGCTCAAATCCCAGTTCTGCCACATTCTGCTGCTGGGATCTTGAGCAAATTCTTATAATACTTCATTTTCTATAATATCCGGCAAAGGGGGACAATGTTACTATTTTTCAGCATTATTGGGCGATTAAATAAAACAATTCATGTAGATGGCCAATGGCAGTATCTAGAACATAGTAAGCCTCAATAAGTAGTACCTCATCCTGTGACTCTGTGCCTATCAGGTGCACCTGAAGAATGACCTTGCATTTAAGAAACCTCAAGGCTGCAGGTCAACCAGAGCCTGCACAAAAGAGAGTGATAGGATGGCATCTCTTTTGGGAAATTGGTGAAGAAACTGGGTAGGTTTTAGCCCAAAAAGGAACAAGCAGAACTGATGAGGACTGACTTCAAAGGTGTCAAACATTGTCATAGATCATGGAGGTTTCAGAAACAAACAAACAAACAAACAAAAAACAGTTTACGCATAACTTAAGAGAGAAAGTTAAATTAGTGAGTTCTCTGACACAAGAGGCATTTAAGCATGCTTGGTAACAAAATGGCAAAAGAAATGCGGCCTCAGGTGGAAAATTCAGTTAAAAGTTACTTTAATACTTGATACTCCTTTCAACCCTCGCATTTTACACATCTATTCCAAACAGACTGTTGTCCTTACTCTCCTGGTGGATATCCTCAATTTTAAGATACCCTTTTGGGTCTCTCCTATAAGCCAAAAATAAATAAAGCTTTAAAACATATTTAACATAATCATCTAAAAATGAATGCCCCATTGGAAAATTTTTCATACATTAAAAAGTTACTGTACTATGGACCCCCGATTCCTTGGTTTCTATGATTTAGACAAGTTTCTTTCTCTGAGACATATTCATTCAACCAATAATGAGAGAGCAACTCCTGTGCTTCAGACATTGGCCTGGGTGTTGGGGTGGAGAAATGAGGAAGACACAGTCTCTGCTCTTCAATGATTCACCATCCAACAGTGGGAGGAGAGTGACCTTGAACGACACCCCCAGTTCAATGTGAAGGATGCAGAGTCTGAGCAGCGTCACTGAAAAAAGCCACGACTCGCTGCTGTGGGTTGGGGTGACTTTATTATGTTGTTTAGAACCCCTCCCAAGTCACTTCCCACAGCGTGAGGACACCTCCTTTAACTTCCCCTTTCCCTCAAACTTCTCTTTTCATTTGTTGACGTATAGCTGGAATTCAAGGAAAATTACCTTTTCCTCAAAACTACGTGTGTAACGAAAGCAGAACTGTGAGTTGGCATGACCTATTCTCCCACATTTGTGGGCGTGTTGCTTTAACTTGGTGTTGCATCAAATTACATCCTTATTTCTGCTGCATTGTAAGTTGTATCTTCTGGTTTTCCAACCTGACCCATGAACTCACTTGCATAAAATCTCAGATACATGGTTGGTTTGTGCCTATTTAAGTTATCTGAAGGCAAGGAAACCAATCTATTACCTAAAATGTTTTTAATATATTTTATTAATTTTTTCTCTACAGAGAGAAAGGGAGAGAGATAGAGAGTTAGAAATATTGATGAGAGAAAAACATAGATCAGTTGCCTCCTGAACACTCCCTATTGGGTATGTCCGCTCAACTAAGGTACATGCCCTTGACCAGAATCGAACCTGGGACCCTTGAGTCCACAGGCCAACACTCTGTCCACTGAGCCAAACCAGTTAGGGCCCTAATATGTTTTTTTACATTAATAAAAATCTTCCAGGTTGGACAATTTCTCAATAAAATCATACTGGGTAAGCAATAAAGAAATGGTACCAAGTGCTTAACAGCATGATTTCTGTCTTAGGAATTTGAGTTCAAATTTGAATACAGTCCTCATAGGCAAGTTACTTAATATTTCCAAACATTAGTCTCCTCACCTGTAAAATAAAGATAATATTGTACTACTCTTCACTGTTGTAAACATTAAATGGGATATAAATTAAGAGCTTGATATTTGTGGCTAGCTTGTAGCAGGTGCTCAAAAGTGGTTAGCAGATGGGATTACACAGTATTATAGGCAATTCTGTGAAATGATTCTGGCATAAGGTTATCCTGGGTACCAGCCATCACCACAACAGCTCTTTGAAATCTAAATCACTGCAATCCAAGCCCAAGAGGACTGCATGTAACATGATTAGGCACAGATCTCTGTGTCACTGAGGCCACGCTGCTAGATTCCAGTCCAGCTATGCCACCTAATAGCTGTGTGACCTTGGGCAAGCCTCTTTGCTTCTCTGTGCCTTAGTTTCATTGTCTGTCAAATAAGGCTAACAGTTGTACCCACTTTGTAGGATTGTTAGATGTATGAAGTGCATTGATGCTTTAAATCTGTCCCTGCTGCAAGGTAAGCACCACATCTATTAGTTATTAAGATGATGGGAATCACTGGGTACAAATCACTGGAAACCATTTCATGGTATTGTGTCCAGAAGACAATGTAGCTGTGAGAAAAAAAAATTCCTAGCCCAGTGGTCAACAAACTCATTAGCCAACAGAGCCAAATATCAACAGTATGACGATTGAAATTTCTCTTGAGAGAGAAATTTTTTAAACTTAAGCTTCTTCTAATGCCACTTCTTCAAAATTGACTTGCTCAGGCCATGGTATTTTGTGGAAGAGCCACACTCAAGGGACCAAAGAGCGCATGTGAATTCCTGTGCACATGCATTAAAATTTTATTTTCTCCCGTCAATCTGTCTCTGTTGATTTGATTATCAACTTAAAGGGTGAGAGAAAAAGTATTAATTGCTTTTAGGCCCCATAGTAGCTTCTAAGTATTTTTGGGTTTGTAGGTTTGGTTTTTAATGACAAGATTCTGAGGTAGGGAAATCCAGGTCTTACTTAGAATGAAAAAGTTGCAAAATGACAGAATTATGTATTTTCCTTCCTTTCCTTAACCACCATCTCTATTTAAAGATCTGAGCCGATGCAAAGGAGGAAACCTGAATGGTGCAATGTGGGAAGTTTCCTTGCACAAGAGAAAAGCAGAAACATTCCATTGATCCCAAAATTTCTGACTTGACAAAATCCTGGCACCAGAGTTTTCCTAGTGTTGTAGTCTTTTACCCCAAACATCTTTATCTCCAATAGAGTTATTTCATAAAAGAATAAGGAGAAAGATAGTTTTATTACCACCTATAAATCTGAAACTGCATGAGTAAAAAAAAAAAAAAAAAAAAAAGTGCCTGGTGAGAGTTTCATACATTATTGTCTGTCATGCGTTAATGTCAAAAACTATAGTCAAGGATTTGCACAGCCTTGTCAGAGAAAGATTTTTCTTGGCCCTTGCTTCACTATTAACTTGGCAACAAAGTACATATGAAATGAGTACATATCCCAAGATATATATATATATATATATATATATATATATATATATATATATATATATAATTTTAAAATCCATATATGAGGTACCTAAATGAAACTTAACATCTAAAGAAGTTAAGAACTTCCCAGGAAATTCTGGCTTCAGGTGTAATTCTATAGCCAACAAGAGAATATTTCTGAAGCAAGCATTTCTTAAAAATGACAAATTATGGGATCTTAATACATTACAACACAGAGTGTTCAAAAGGTCCCAGAGAAAAATGCGAAAATTACTGAAGATGTAAATATCAATATGAAATTTCACTATTTTTCTTTCTTGTTGCATTTTCTAGATTGCCTTTTACAGGTCATGATCTGAAAAAAATTAAAAACTATGTATTTATTAACTTAAGTTCATAATCCTAACTCTATCATTCCCATTTTCTAATGGGGCAAACTCACTTACTAAAGATTTAGTCTTCTTTTTTTGTAATTTATAGAGTTTAAAATATGAAAATACACACTTAAAACAGTTTTTATTACAAGATGTTTCAGTTATTTTTGAACAACAACAACAACAACAAAAACTGCAGAAAATGTTTCCATTTGCCCACTCATCTCAGGATACTAACCAAAGCAATCATGAAAGAAGTAAGTCAACATTAATTATTTTTGCTTCTCAAAAAGAGTATTGGTGCCTATTGCAAAAAACCTATATACACCTTTGTGTACATGTGTGTGTCTTTTCCAAAGGATGTTTCAAAATATAGCTAGCTAGAGAAAATACAAACTGAGCGTATATGTAGTCTCCCTCATCCACTCATACCTCTCACTATCATAGATGCATTACAAATCTTAGCTGAGATTAAGTTTACTTTAAGAAAATCCTGGTGGACTGGACTGAGCTCAGGGCCCCAAATCAGAAACTCAGGTCTCAAAAGAGTGGCTGCTGGCCCCAACTCTGTCACAGCCATGTGAGAGTGGGCAGTCACCAGCTTCCGGGTCTCAATTTCCTCTTCTCTTAATGAGGGAATGGGGTCTGATGATCTAGGGTCCCTTCCAGCTTTAACTTAAAAGAGAATCAGGCAGCAATGTGCCCTGTTTAACCTCCTTGTAAGCAGGACATTTTGGCTAAAATGTTAAACCAACAAACAACCTAAAAGAGTCACAGTAGGCATTCATTCCATTAAAAAGCTGGGCATCTGAAGGGACGTATTGAATTCAGTTCATTTCCGACATGCTTAGCTCACTTGGAACAGTCTGAGTGTACTTATTTATATGGGTATTGCCCACAGGATGCTAATGCGCCCTGAGTGTGAACTCAACATCCTGGGGAGTGTCACAGTGACATGGCACACGATCACCAGCAAAAGAAAAACCAACAGTACTAACAAAATCCAAACTGATGCCACACCAGTGAGACTAAGCATTGTTGAGTGCACTTGCCTCCTTATTTTCCAATCTTTAAAACAGTGCTCTACCTACCACTTTAATGGCACGTTATATAAATTCACTAAGAATTGTGAATGATCTCAGGCCAATTTAAAAAAAAAAGAGTTTTAATGTACCGATTCTAAGAAGAAAGCCCAAGTAATAAAGTACATCTGGAGTACTATTATAACAGCTCATCTTTAACCATTTTTTGCTCTCTCTCCTCAAAAAAATAAAAATAAAAAGGAGGGGAATTGGAATTTAAATAATAACTGAATAGTCTGTCCAAATAACCTCTACAGCAAAAGAGTTTGGGTCATAACAGGCATTTGTGGCTCTTGAAAAGGGCCTTAGACCTTTGCCTTCCAGACTCTGTAGCCTGGAGTTCTCAGTCCCGCGAGATCAATCTCTGCTGACACCTGTGCTGGATAAGCTCATCTTTAAGAACCAGAAAGAAGTGGAACCTGTACTGGCTTCCTCCTGAACATTTACATGCTGCCATGCTCTCCTAGTTCAACCCAGTAGGTTCAGCATTCAACATTTCTAAAATGAGTTCACAGAGAGAGCAAACTGGACTCTCATCCTCCCCAGCCCTCTCTCCAGTGACAGCCTGGCAGGTGGCACGTCTTGCTTACCTTTTTCACCAGGTAGCCCTCCCTGATCCGCTTTGGTTCCATGTTGGATGGACGAACAGACGTCTGGGTCCAGTCTCAGACAAGTCCTCTCAGATGTTCAGCCTCCTCTGAGAGCTGAGGCACTTGTGGGCTGCTTTTCTATAGTGAGGTCCCTTTCACAATTTCCCGTTGGCTGGCGATCGCATGATCACATCCTCTTCCCCTCACTGCGGTGGAAGATCAGAATAAGGAACTGCAGAGAGAAACAACCCCTTCTGTGCTAATGCCGGAGACTGTTACACGTACAGCTGTGAATTTCTATAGCCATAAGGAAAACCATTCTCCTAAATAGAAGAAAAATGGTCAGAGGAAGAGGGGAATGACCAAGAAAACTTTCTTAGTAGAAATAGTCCTGGCTTTGAAATTATTCTTGAGATCCTAGAAATGCTTCATAAAAATTCCAAGAAATTTACAACCAACAGGTTAGCATAACAAAGGCAGCTAGTGTTAAATAAATGCCCACTTCTATGCCAAGTACTCTACCAGCTATTTTTTTCAGCCAGCCTCATTTAGTGTGGTCATTACAAGAAAACCACAGGGGAGGTTAACTATTGTCTCTATCTGAGCCATCAATAAACTCATGCTCAGAAAAGTAAGTGTTTGTCTCAAGATGACAGAGCAGGAAGAGGTAGAACCAGAAAAGAAGAGATCTCACCAGGGGACTGCTGCCCCCCATCAGCCTGAGGAACATTTGACACACAGAATGCTAATCCTACAGTGGGGTGGAAAAAACAAACAAACAAACAAACAAACAAAACAAAAAAATCCTTACATTATAGTCTCAGCTTATGGACTGGCCTTTATTTTTATTAAATTATTATCTGTGTACATATACCATTGCCCCCTCCCCCATACATGCCCTCCCTCCCCAGAGTTTTGTGTCCATTGGTTGTACTTATATTCCTGTGTACAAGTCATTCAGTTGATCTCTTATCTTCCCCAGATCTCCCAACCCTCCCCGCTGTAATTTAACAGTCTGCTTGTTGCTTTACTGTCTCTATGCTGAGTGAAATAAGCCAGTCCATGAAAGAGAAACACCACATGACCTCACTCATTTATGGATAATAAAGAACATTATAAAGTGATGAACCAAAAGATAGATATGGACTGGCCTTTATTTTTTTATTTTTTTTTTTAAATATATTTTATTGATTTTTCACAGAGAGGAAGAGAGAGGGATAGAGAGTTAGAAACATCGATGAGAGAGAATCATCGATCAGCTGCCTCTTGCACACCCCCAACTGGGGATGTGCCCGCAAGCAAGGTACATGCTCTCAACCGGAATCGAACCCGGGACCTTTCAGTCCGCAGGCTGACGCTCTATCCACTGAGCCAAACCGGTCCCGGCTGGACTGGCCTTTAGATGAACAAATTCAAGCACTAGCTGACAGTCTTCTTGTAGTGGTGTTTAACCTTGTGTTTCCCAAATTTATTTGACCCGGAATTCTTTTTGAGAGATGTCTATTAACATTCTTGTTGTAGGTTGAATTGTATCCTCCCTCCAAAGAAGTCCTAACCCTCGGTACCTTAGAACATGATCTTATTTGGAAATAGGATTTGGGGGGATGAAGTTAGTTTAGCTAAAATGAGGTCATACTGGAGGAGGTGGGCCCCTTAATCCAATATGACTAATGATCTTATTAAAAGAGGAGTGGAACACACAGAGAGTAGACAGCCATATGACACCAGAGGCAGCGATTAGAGTGATACATCTGCGAGCCCAGGATACTGAGGATTACCTTCAAGCACCAAAAGCTAAAAGAAGCAAGCAAGAGTCTCCCCTAGAACAGTCATAGAGAACATGGCCCTGCCAACACCTGGATTTCAGACTTGTAACCCCCAGAACTGTAAGACAATAAACTTCTGCTGCTTTACCCAGTTGGTGGTACTCTGTTACAGAGGCCACAGGAAACAAAACCAGTATTCTATGCAGCAACCCATGAATGTTTATCTGGCCGTGTGAAAATGGACAGGTTCTTTAATCCCTCTGTGCCTCAGTTTTCTCATTTGTAAAAGGGGGATGATAACATCTATTCAATGTGGTCATTCTGAAGTTTAAGTAAGGTAATATTTGTAAATGTTTAGAAAAGTGTCTGGGACATTTAGTAAGTGTCCGTAAATGTTTGTGATTTCTCACTTTCAAAGAGTCTCCATTGTTCTGGGGCTGATCCATTTTTAAATATATATACTAGTATATATTTTTTTATTTCAGAGAGGAAGGAAAAGGGAGAGGGAGATAGAAACATCAATGATGAGGGAGAATCATTAATTGGCTGCCTTCTGCACACCCCCTACTGGAGATCAAGCCCACAACCCAAGCATGTGTCCACCAGGATTGAACCATGGCCTGTTTCATAGGTTGACAATCAACCACTGAGCCACATTTTTATAAAACATGAAGAGAATTACTTAAAGCAGAGATGCACCAAAGCATACATTTTCACATGTGTATTTTAGTTTTAAGGTACTAAACATCAGTTCATAGGATATTTACAAACTAAGGTAATCATCAAACAGATTGACAGGGAAATTATCTTTGCACAAATTGTGGGGTTGATTCTTTTCAATGATAAGTTCAACAAAGATTATAGAAATAATCATAGGACTAGATTTTTGACTAGTTCCCACTCCTCATTATATTAGCAGTTTTGGGCTGCAATCAATAAGATCGAACTCTGACTAACATAGGCAAAAAAAAAAAAGTGTGAAGTGGCTAACTTATTCAAAGAAAAAATACTCAGGTCTTTGTGTGTGTGTGTGTGTGTGTGTGTGTGTGTGTGTGTGTGTGTTTTAATCTTTATGTTGAAAGTATTACGTATGTCCCCTTCCCCCTCCCCCCATAACCCTCTCTAGCCTGCCCCCACCCCATGCCTCAGGCCTTCACCACCTTATTATCTGTATCTATGGGTTATGCATATAGAAATACAAAGAAGACTCAGGTCTTTGAAAGGACAGAAATCAGGGCAGCTGTGGGGTTCCAGGAAGAAAGAACTAGTAGGTGGTGTCTTTGAGACACAAACTAAGAGAATTTCAGTGGTTTCTAGGCTCTACAATAATTTCCAGGGACCCCACATTTGATGAGACTAGACTGCCTCCGTGCTTCCCTCTCAGCCATCTGGACAGTGCCTGGTGGAGGTGGGCTTCCCCCAAAGGAAAATCAGGGCATATTTAATAGTAAACGAGTGAAAGGCCCTTGCATAGGCAACACCCCAAAAAATTCAGGGACAGGAAGGTCTGTTCTTGAGATTTTCTAACAGCCTCCTGCCTTACTCTCCTCCTTTCTTCCAACTCTGTGTCTAACCAGCAGTCACTGCCCTTCTACTTTTCACTTTTCATTTTAGGCTCCTGTAGATTACATAACTATAGATGGCTCGCCGTCCACTTCTCATTGCTCCAAAATTAGTTGGGAATTATTAGAAAGCTTGGGGGCGTAGGAGTGGAAAAAAATAAAAATTAGATGGCAAAAAAATATATATAAAAAAGGATGGTTACCCTGTCTTCATTGAAACAAATATTTTGCTTTGTCTGTATTTTTACAGGTAATGGAAACAGTTCATAGATTTACCAAGTCTCATTTCATGGCTAAATTTACTTCGTTTTGTTTCTTTAGCCAAGTGACTTCCAAACTGTAACGTTTTCTCTCTTTGCCCAATTATGACCAGAGGTCGTAAAGAACCCTTACTCCAAAATGTCACATTTCTAGGATGCCTACAGTATAAAAGCAACCCTCTGTGTTGCCAACAAGTCCAAGTAGCTTCTTGAGTGGATTCATCAGCTGAACATTATTAGCAGGGATGAATCAGAGGCAATACTCCTGCTTCTCCTCCAGCCACGGGTCACCATGCCTGCTTAGCAACACCTAGTGGTCAGTAGAGGGAACTGTCTACTATCTGTCTACTATTAATATTTAGGACTTTCAGAAGAGTTGAAGCAAATGCTCTTCCCCAATGTCACATCCCGTCTCCAGATCAGATAATTAGAACCTCTTTGAATATCTTTTTTTTTTTAATTTATGTGTGTCAAGGCTTACTTTTTAAAATCTCTTTCTGTCCTACTTCTAATTCTCCACATCAGATCAATACTTTGGAAACATTCTTATAGTACATTTTCTTGGTGTAAGGAAAATGTAAGACTTTAGAATAAGCAAAAAAAAGATTACTGAAAGAGGAAACAGAGGGGCCGGAGACCGGATGCCAAGACACAGGCTTTATTGAAGAGAAGAGTACCACTGCCCGCTGCTTCCAGAGAAAGAGAGGAAGAGAGTGAGGGCCAGGATAAAAGCACCTTTTAAGGGGAGGAAAGGGAGGGGATGGGGCTTAGGGCACTCAGCACACGCTGATTGGTGGTTTCATGTAAGGCACATGATTAGGGACCTAGGAACTTAGGAATGGGGGGCGGAGGGGGCCTAGGGTATTTGGCAGGTGTTGATTGGTGGTTCAGTGCTCAGGAATGTCCAGCTGCAGGTGGAGTTTACATTATTCTCTGTCCATCAGTTGGAGGAAGGAAGGATCTATCAATTACTGCATATCTCCAGTGGAAAATTATGCTTCATTTACAGGTTATTTGATTCTATGGAGTTTGTGTTTTTCCTTATATTTGAATTATTTTTACATCTTCGTAAATTCTGTCTGATGGAAGTTCAACAGACTCTAGTCCACTCTATTACCCCACCCAATTCCACCCCACCCAGAAAAAAAAAAAAGGTTTTGCCTATCTATAAATTGATTTTAACAATTCTTTCACTCCATATAAACTTGTCTTTGACTTCTCCTTCTCCATTGTATTTTATGTGAATTGTGATTTTATTTTTAGAATATAATAGAAAGCATTCAATAGAAATGAATGGGAAAAGCAGGACACAAACCAGTTGGAGACTTTGTGTGCTATTTTTTAAACAGCACACACAGATCTTTGATTAGGCTGAAAAGGTGTCGAGTCCTGTGATGATGTAGGTGTTGTGAACTTGTCAAGTTTTTAGTAAGATCGTGTTTAATAATGGTCCA